GAATTCCGTCAAATACAGTCAGAAAGTTTTTATTTTAACTGAATGCATGTTGTCTATCTAAGTCAACAATCTCGTCTTACCCTTTTAAATATGCTTACACAATTTATAAGAAAATTTTATACAGGTTTTCATCTTCTTCTTTTACCCAATAATATGCAAATCTTTGATTTTTCCTCTTCTTTTACCCAAAAATGTGCATTCCCGAAATTCAACAAATGAAAATCTTTGTTTTTTCCCAAACTCGAAATGATTTTTTCCAAACTGTCCCCTATTGGCTACCTGAGTATGATGGTGTGTATAAAAAATGACCTTTCCTTTCCCACCTCTTCTAACCAACACTCTCCTTTGTTCTATGATTTTGTGTCTCCTCTATCAATACTTCTCATCTCTTCTAACCAATGAATAGTCGATGTAACCTACTAGAATTGCATAAGTTTTTGAATTTAAAAAAATCTTAAGTATGCATCTCTCATCTTCAATATTATTGTTCAATCGATCGAGGACAATAGTTAGTCTTCCTAAAATAGTCTTGAAGTGGGATACTCTGCTACGTCAAACACAACTTAAGTAAAAGTGAAAAAGTGATCGTAAAAAAAGAATTTAAACAAAACGAATAAAATAAAATGAATAACCAAAATCAGTTTTGTCAATCCTGCAAGTGTTTCTTGCTAAAGAATAAGTGGGCAAATCATGTCCGTTCGGAGTTGCATAAGCGAAATGCAATTCAACCCCTTGACGGAAGAGTCAAAAAAATTTCTGAGGGATTCAAGGGAAGAATACTACATTACATGTATGTAAACGATGGATCGGACTTGATCTTACCAGAGAGTTTCTTGAGTGAAGCTGGATTGTCCCTGCTACCTCATCTCAGCATTCTGTTAGAAAGTTATACTTCAGCAAAAGTAAACTTTGAACTGTTTGCAGAGTATATACTTTTTAAAGAAGAATCTGAAGAAATTGATATGAAAAGTTTTCAAAGTAAAATGACGATCATGAATAAAGATTCTGACTTAGAAAATATCTTTCATGAACATACCATGGAAATAATTTCAAAAACACAAGAATTTCAAGAGAGAGATAGTGGATGGTCTCTTATAAAATTGATTCGCTTGGAAATGAATGTGAATCATTATACACCAATGGCTGGTTCATCTTTCATACCACTACCTCGTTTCCTTTTAACGAAAAAAGCAATAGTTAACGTTTGTAACGAAAATGATCATTATTGTTTTAAATGGGCTTTGATTTCTGCCTTGAAAATTGTTAACAGGCCGCAAAGATGTTCGGCATATAATATTGATATATCGCTGGAGATAATTCGTATAAGTGATGAAATAATATTAGATTTCACAGGGTTGACTTTCCCCCTTGAAATAAAATGTATAAAAAATGTTTTAAAGAAGAATATTCATATGAGTTTAAACGTATTCGGATATAATGAAGAGAAGAGGGAAATAATTGGACCGCTTTTTCAATCGGAAGTGGAAAAGCCTCTTCATATCAATATGATGTTTTTGGAAGAAGGTGGAAATGGACATTACATGTACATAAAAAATATTTCAAGGTAAATTCTTTTATTCATTTTTATATGTGCATATTTACAAATACAAAAACAGTCATTACTACAAAATAGAAAACACATGCGCTTTGTTTTTTAATTGATGTATCTATCAGGACCACCTTCCAAGGGAAGTGGGACTTGACAGGAGCACACGCTACACTTCCTCATGGTTAAACTCAGAAACTGCATGAACGAGTCAATTATAAAAAGGTCTGGGGGTGTCAGTGCCTTGATAAATTGTTTAGGAATCTTTCTTTTTCCAAATGTCACAACATTTCTAACGTTCCAGCTAAGTTATGTATATATGTAGGATCGGAAACAGTGAAGACCACACGGCGAGCGCAAAATCCAAGTGTCATTGCATTCAATTTTGCAAAGAAATCAATTACTTTTATTCTGTCAACGGATGTATGTGTCTCTTTTCCGGGACTTGTACTTTTTTTGTCTTGGTCTTGGGAGGCACTTCCAACTCCGACCCAAGACCAATCACCCTGAGCTGCTATAGATAGAGCCAATTACGTCATCATTAGTTTTGATTAGTTTTCAGAGCTCATGTTGATGGGAAAACTGCTCGGCACTTCCGGCACCACCTACTGTTTCCCATTCGGGCTTGATGTCCTGCTGGGCGACGGTCGGGTGCTGTTTTGGTTGGTTTTTGGTTTGATTTCAATGACTGCGCAAAATTGATGGACGTGTTTTTGATTGAGGCTTGATCGGTGCCACCTTTCCTTGCGTCATGCAGCAGAACTCTTCTGAGAGTGCGGATATTATTCAATTGTATCGTCTCCGACCTTCTTCGACTGTGGCTTATCTCGAAAAAACAGCTAAGGACCATGTGGGGGGATTTGGGCAAACCAGTTACCCTGTTTGTGCACTGCAAGCATTATGCGATACGCGGCGTTAGGATTAAAAGACAAATTGCGTATATGTATATATATATAGCCTTGCAGAAACCGCGCCAGGATGGGCTCATTAGGGTCCTAGCTCGGGCGAGATTACGCAGCGGACAATCGAATTATTAACAGTGTTTATGCAGATAAACTCATCGTTTAGCGGCTGTCGGGACATACCCACTTTTCCGCCTAAGGTCTGCGGACAGACCCCTGGAAAATACGATCGCAGACCACTAAGAGCGGAGGAAGGGCGTCGAAACTGGGAATGTTAGGCAACTCCAAGCTCCCGAGGAGAGTCTATGTCAACATACTTAAATGGAAAGTCTCGTAATCTACAGCAGTGGCCTATAAATAGAAATACCTATTCGGTCACCACCCACGTTGAAAAGTGGTTCTATATAAACTGGGGCATGAAGTTGACATTACTTTTTTATAGATCAGGCCCGTCTATTCATCGGAAAAGACTTTCTATAACCGCAAAACAGACAGCCCAAATGAAAGCCATCAAGAAGGCCAGACCAACTGTCTCCTATTCTTGCGGGGATGTTGCTCCTGTCGGCCAATAAATTTTCCAATTAAATGGATCCTCTGACTTTTTGAACAGGAAGATTCTACCCCTGCCTCGGGCATGCCTGTGTCCATTCATCCCTATGCTTGCTGGTAAGGGATGAGGGTTGGTGGGTAAGGGTATGAAACAGTCGCACAGGCTTGGCCAGACCCGTTGAGCTGCGACTCCATTTTTTATTATGCTCACTCTGGGCTTGTTTTGATCCTTGGGTTTTCGCACTGCCCTGCATCCAATTGCTTCGGCCGGCTATTGTAGAAATGCGAAATTATGGCCCGTATATTTCTCTATTAGTGGCACAAAAGACATTTCAATTTCTCACTCTGGGTGGGCAGAAGGTTCAAAGGTGCTGCTAGGAAAGAAGTACTGGTAGTCCTGGCAACTACCTCGTTGCGAACTTTCTTCGGACCACCCGAGGAATCGTGTTTGTCCTTTTTGTGGTCATGAATGGCCAGAGACCTATACGGCAATAGTTCAGAAATGTCAATAGGTTATTGATAGCCAACTACTTTCTCGTTAGGAAATATTGCAATATAGTGGTATGGAACAATGCAGAATTACACTGATAAACCTAGTGCAATTTTATATGTACAATGTACATATTTGTATATATGTATGTACATTAGGGTGGGTCGATTTGGGTGCCTAAAAATCGAATGGGGAACGTAATTTTTAAAGGAAATTAAGCAATATTGCCGAACAAACTTATGGTCTAAAATGGGCTTTGACCCCCCCAAACGAGAATGAAAACAAGGAAGGACGCTATAGTCGAGTACCTCGAATATGAGATACCCGTTACTCAGCTTATGAGTCCAAAGGGAAATGGAGATATGCAAGCAGCAAAGCGAGATTGAAATGCGCCACCTACCGGCGGTAGACAGATTTAAGCGTTATGGGCGTTAGAGTGGGCGTGTCAAACTTTTTTGGGTCAATCGATAGGTGTTGACGAGAACAATACATTTCAGTTAAAATTTGTATTCTAGCATCAAAACTGTAGGAGCCACAGTTTTAAGCGGCTTGTGGGCGTTAGAGTGGGCGTGGCACTCTGCTGAAACAAACTTGCGCTGCGCAGGAATCTGCATGCCTAATCCCAGTATTGTAGCTTGTATAGTTTCCGAGATCTCAGCGTTCATACGGACAGACGGACATGGCTAGATCGACTCGTCTAGTGATCCTGATCAAGAATATATATACTTTATGGGGTCAGAAACGCTTCCTTCTGCTTGTTACATATTTTTCGACGAATCTAGTATACCCTTTTACTCTACGAGTAACGGGTATAACAAGGAAGAACGCTATAGTCGAGTACCTCGACTATCATATACCCGTTACTCAACTAAAGGGACCAAAGGGAAATGGAGATATGCAAGCGCCAACTACCCGTGATCTCAATATATGGTTATGTGGGCGGTAGACAGATTTAAGCGTTATGGGCGTTAGAGTGGGCGTGGCCAACTTTTTTGGATCAATCGATAGGTATTGACGAGATCAATACATTTCAGTTAAAATTTTGTATCTAGCATGAAAATTTTGGCGCCACAGGTTTGGTCGGTTTGTGGGCGTTAGAGTGGGCGTGGCACCTTGCTGAAACAAAGTATTGTAGCTCCTTTAGTTTCCGAGATCTCAGCGTTCATACGGACAGACGGACATAGCCAGATCGACTCGGCTAGTGATCCTGATCAAGAATACATATACTTTATGGGGTCGGAATCGCTTCCTTCTGCCTGTTACCTACTTTCCGTCGAATCTAGTATACCCTTTTACTCTACGAGTAACGGGTATAACTATTGACTATATTGTAATAAATTAAATAATCTTTAATTAAAATGGCACCTACAAAAACCAAAAAGAATGATAGCGCATCGGAGACAGAAGGGGAGATGGAAGATAGCTGCTCCTCGGTGCAATTAACGAAATTATTTTCGCAGTTAGATAGGGTTGGTGAAGATATTACAAGAATGAGGAAAGCTTTCGAGGAGAATACAATTTCGTTTAATCCGCTTTAAATTTAATGTCATATTATAGGTATTTTCAAAGCTTTTGAGAAAATTAGTAGTAAGGAACCACAGTAAACTTGTAGAAATTAACGCCTTCTGGGTTAACTCGCGTAATAAATGAATCCTTTGGCTTGAATAATCCCAAAATGTTGGTGCCGTTAAACAAGTCCTGTAAAAACTTATATAAGCGACCAAAGTTTTTTTTTAAAAATAAATCCTACTTACTATTACATAATAGCCCATGCGGTTCTGCAAGCCTATTCTGTGCAAGGGTACCTCAAATGTCTGAGGACACAAGGGACAAGCACCAAAGCCTCCTTGATTGACGAAGGCTACTGCAAAAGAGTTCTTTCCAAAGTCACTTACCGGAGTTACAGGCCGAACCCAAACCTAGGCGTCAACATTTATTCAATGAACAAGTCGCATAATAATGTTTACCTGAAGGTTTCGCACCGCAAGAACGAGCCTTCCAGGCTGGCCCAGAGGGTCCTGATCTATTGCTATTACATCAGGGTTCTGAAGGAGTTCCTTTATTTCCGGACGTACGGTATCCAAATCGTTGGTCATAATCAAAGGGGCAGCGATCACTGCCCATATAGCTATCTGCAAACGGCTGGCATCGTAGCTTAATCTAAAGTTTCCCAGGACAAGCTAGAGGATGTCGATTTATAACATAAACGCTATCACAGCTTTTAGATATCACCATATCTGGATCATTCCAGCGACCAGGGCCAGAATGTGCTGTCAGAATATCCTGTTTGCTGGAGTATCGCGACATTATGTTCGTCACAGATGTAAACGAGTCTTGTATGTCAACAGCAAACCTCCAGAGATTGCAATGTTTCGCTATCAACGAGTAGTTTGGCTGAGGAAAAGTGCGGATTGGTACCCTACACGACTTAAAACAGCAAAACAAACCTTTGACTTATAAAAAGGCCAACTGCAGGAGTACACCATGTGCCGGCCCGTTTGGTTCATAGCCGCTCCAAAGGCTGGGTATCCCCAGTCGATATCTTCTTCACTAGCGTAGCAGCCGTCCATCTTGACGTAGTCAACGCCCCATTTAGCGAAGGTTTGAGCATCTAGCTTAAAGTGCCCAGCAGCTCCAGGGCCACGGAACATGCATGTTTTCTCTCCCACATCATGGTAAATTCCAAACTTCAGTCCTATGTTATGAATCTGTTGGAAAAAATAGGTCAGCTCTGTTAAGGGATACGAATCGCCTACCCACGTGATTGCCGAGAGCCATCATTCCACTGGGGAATCGATCGAGGCTGGGCAGAAGCTCGTGAGTCGCTTCGTCTCGAGACGCTTCCATCCAACAGTCATCGATAATCAAGTATTGATATCCTGCAGCAGCATAGCCCTCTGATAACAAGAGGTCCGCCGTACGTCTGATAAGCGATTCACTATGATCAGAATAATACTTTAAAGAATTTATTCAAGACCGCAAAAGTAATCAACCTGATGCAGTCCTTGGGGAAGCGGGCACAGTCCGTCATGCAGCGGAACCTCTCAAATGGCATCCAGCCCATCGGAGGTACGATCGCCAGCCCGTTATTCAGTCCATATACAAATCGAAGGGCATTGCAAATCAAAATCAGAAGAAGAGTCATTGTCAACTGCCAGATGTGAAATAACAATTCTAGTAAGAAAAGAGAACCCGTAAGAAATATGAGTGTGGGAAAGTCAACTTTATTACCAAAGGGCTAGCGAATCTAATTTAATTTATGAGCGTGCAAATACCAAACGATAAGAAAAGCAAACTCAGGCTATGTACTTACGATCTGAGAAACTGCTGATGAAAGTCTTCTTGTATTTTCTTCTATACATTATTGCGTGTGCCGTTAAACACTTAGTATTTGAAGTGTAAGACTTTTTAAAGTAAAATACAATGAAGCTGTGACCAAAAGTCTTACTTGAAGTCTTACTCTTATGGCTCGAATGCAAACTTCTAAACATTTTCAGAAAATCAAAAAAAATATAAGCAAAATGATTTTTGAAACATTTTTTTTACATTACTGTAAGTTTTGCTTAGAGTATCTTTAAGCATCAAAAAATTGTAGTTTTGAAGACGAGGGAAAAAGTTTAAGAAGTAGATTTAAAAAAAAAATCGTATTTTTTAATAAGTACTGAATGGGATAAGAAAAGTCTTGTATCATTCAAATGAAATTTAAATGATCTTTCCATTGATGTCAAAATGTATATGAAGTAAGTTCAAATTACGACTATAATTAATTTTTGTTTTGTGCAAATGCTTTTGATCACCCTTTTCATTAAAAAGTTATAAAAGCTAATGTAATTGCATTAATGGAAAACTCGTCATCGTTCAGCAGGTGATCGAATACTAACGGAAGTCCGGATAAAAAGAATTCCAAGAAAAAAGAAGCTGCTATGAATTCTTAGCCGCTTTCGGTTTTTTTCGGGAAACCGGCGCATCATTAAAAATGTTATTTAGAAACCTTTTTTCATATCAATATAATTAAAGATCTGCACCATAAGTGTATTAAAAAAATCTTTATTTAATTTTACTTTTACACTGGTTACAATATTTTGGAAGAACACCGACCTACTGTTGATAAGTCTCAAACTGAACTCATTCTCTAACTCCTACTTCACTTACGATCATACCTCGGTTTTAAGCTTTAGAGCTTTCTGTGAGTGGGACTTATTGCAATTGAGTGATTCTTTAAATTTAGACTTTGGACTCCAGACTTGGGTCCCGAAATCTGAGTATCCTGATTCGTGGGAACGTGCCGATAGTCTGAACAGCGGCTCGATCTAATTGTTTAGTCTATAAAGGTTGGGTTTTTGTTTCATGGAAATTTCCTCTGGCTTGCTTTTAGTTCGGTAATTTTCCATTGGCTTGTTGACAATTAAATCTGGATTCTTATTTCTTAAAGGGTCTCGAGGGTGACTGCATAATGTGTGCATGTATGTGTGGGTGTGTGGACATGTATATTGGAGTACGTGGTGCTATGGATATGTCACTCCCCCATCCGTTGAATTTGGCCTGTCCTCAGGTCAATAATCTTGGGTATAACATTATGTTTTCTTCTACGTTAATTTGATTGGGTAGATCGTTTACAATTTCTGTACTTTTTGGTGTTTCTTCCTTTGGTTTTATATATTTTACAATAAGTTTTCTTGGTATGCTCTTAAATTTATACCATAAATACAATAAAATGCTTATAATAATGATAACAAAGGTTGTTAAAGTAATTGTTTGAAATACATTATAATATTTTGTATGTGATTCTATTATCTCTTTTGTTTGAATATAAGACAATGGTTCTAATTTTGTTACATTATTATTATGTAAACACACTATGTAACATTGAATTTGAAAGAGTGAATTCATCTAATTGTATCAAACAACTAAGGATTTTAATGAGGTTACTTCCGACTATAGAAATTTCTTTATTAATGCAGTTTTGATTCAGCAATGTTTTAGGGATATTCCATGTCAATAAAATATTGGGTTCAACAAAATTAATTTGGAAATTTTTGTAAGTTTTCGTATATTTGCATTCAGTGTTTTCCTGTATAATTATTCCATTTATACAATCATCAATTACAATTTTTCCTGTTTCTTTATTAAATAATTTATCTACATATATGAAATATTTATCAAGTATATTTTCTGTTAAAATATTGTTATTTTTATCGGGATAAGGAATAATTTCAAAAACGGGAGATTTGACTATCTCTGAAGGAATATGGGAAATAATCAAAATTTCATTTGTGTCTGTTTTAAGCCAAGTTTATGTTTTGATTCTCACCAATTTCTCAGGGTTCATATTTTTCAAATAATCGTGTTTTAGTAATTTTGTATTAAATAGTCCCAATCTTGTCATTTGCATTCCTAATTCGATGTCTTCTACATATTCTGACAGGTGTTGTAAGTTAAATATTAAAACGCTGACGTGCTGATCTCTTTCTCCTTTTTCTTTTAATTTGTTAGTCATTTCGATTCCGTTATTTCTGACATCGGTAATCATATTTAAATCCGTATTTTAAACGCTAGTATCTACCAAATTATTGATTTTCTCATCTCATCTTTATCATCTTGATTTAAGGTTCCGAATAGATATTTGTAAACTGTTCCTACGATATTGAATAACCTCTCTTACTACGTTTTGCTATTGTAATTCCATTGATTTCTCTTTTAAGATTTTCCACTAAATATCTGATTTGGATAACATCATTGAATTCATCTGCTTCTTTTAAAAGATCTTCAAATGTTTGTTCGGTTTTTGTTCTATTTACGCTTAAGTTATGATATTCATAATGATTTCGATTGATCTGTTTGATACAAGATATCCGTTTTGTGCCTTTATGGGATTTATTTCAATACTTTGTCCAATTGTCAGTTGAATTACAGTTGCTAATATTATAGAGAAAATTATTGTTTTCACCGAGTTGTTCCTGAGGGCGTTCATTTCCTTTTGTTTGTCTAGAATTATCACCATATTTACTTTTATTAATTTTCTTCTTCTTTTTGAACTTTGATTTATAATGAACAATCTTTCTTCCTCTATTCGTTTCTTCAAAATGTTTTTCATCTACTTTCTTCAAGGTTCCTGTCTTTTTAAATGGATTTGTAGTGTTGGATTTCACTAGAGGACCTTGTTTGTATTTTGGATCTATTTCATAGTCCGGACGTTTCTCGTTTAATCTTTTAATTCTATTCATTTTCTTTTCTTGTGTATCGTAATCAGGAGTTCATGCATATGTCGGAGATGTATAAGAAGAAAGAAAATGTAAACGAAACTGTATAGCATTAAGAAAGAGAAAGGATAAAGAATAAAATAAACTAGTCATTAGGTTATTTGTGGTTCCTTTTAATTGCACAATTGCTGAGAGCGTGGACTGAGAACGAGAGAGAGTGTCGTCTCAGCCGAGTGTGGCGCGGTCATGGTCAAGGTCAAGGACTCTGAGAGAGAGAAGGACCAAAAAGGAATTGCAAATGAGAAAGAGAGAGAAAAGAAAGGAATTTGCAATTAGATGACGTGTGTCATTTTGACGTGTGTCAGAAGAAGCCGGCAGAAGGAAGCCGACTTCACTTTGCTTTTGATATCTGAACGGAGAAGACGTTGACCGCGACTCACTGCGCATCTGCAACAATATGCAAGAAGGAGACCAGCAAATGTCTCAGCCCCTGACATCAGAAGTGGGATCGGCTCAGGCCCAGCGTGATAGTGAATGGCGATCTCTGTTGGAAGCACAAAATCTACGATTCATCGAAATATTAAAAACAATGCAGCAGCCTGCTTCAACAACAACAAGTGAAAAATCATTGAGACTACCAAAGTTTAATCCAGACGCGGCTGAAGCTGACGCCAGCGCGTGGCGCAAAACAGCCGACATGATTCTCACGGAGCATCCTCTGGAGGGCAGTGCGCTGGTTATGTCGCTGAGTGGAGCACTAGAAGGGAGCGCTTCCCAACGGCTTGCACAGATCAGCTACGCTGGTATTACCTGGCCACAATTCCAAGAGTTGTTTGTTCAGCGCTACGACGATTCTGAGACGCCGGCCGCCACCTTATTAAACATTCTCAACGGACGGCCGAAAACGGGCGAGTGTTTGTCAGCGTACGGTAGCCGATTAGTGACGTCACTTTTGACAAAATGGAAGTCGATGGACATCGAAGAAATAGCTGTTTCTTTCGTGCTGGCACACACGTCACAAATCGACACTAGACTGCAGCGTCTACTGTTCACCACCAATATATCGAACAGAAATGAACTACAGCAGCAGTTGAAGGCGTACGCATACAGCAAGCGAAGTGAGCATTCTTCAGATCTTTCGATAGGCCCCGACAGGAAGAGATTCAAGGCACACACACCAATGAAGTGCCATTACTGTGGAATTTCTGGACACAAAATGCTGGACTGCCGTAAAAGGAAGGCAGAACAATCAAAACCAAATCAATCGTTTGGAAGACCACTGGCGGGACGAGACAGGACTGGCGTGACTTGCTTTAAATGTGGAATCGTCGGTCATATTGCATCGGCATGTATGAAGGGAACAGCAGCATCGAGTAGCAGTATGAACGAGAAGCGAGTAGATGTCTGTGCAGTGTTGGAGCCGAAAGGAATTTTATATCAATTTGGTGAGGCCTTTCCATTCTTTTTCGACTCGGGTGCCGAGTGCTCCTTAATAAAGGAAAAGTTAGCAGTCAAACTGGCCGGAAAAAGATTTAATAATTTAGTCATTCTAAAAGGAATTGGAACAAATGTTGTACACTGTAATTTACAAATACTGTCCACCATACAAATTTGTAAATTTAATTTGGAAATCATGTTTAATGTAGTTATGGACGAGCATTTGAAACATGACATAATGATTGGTCGTGAAATCTTGGCACTTGGCTTTGGCATAACAATGGATGCTGATAAATTTAGTATTTTTAAAAGTAAACAAATTAATTCAATATCCGATGAAACTATTACAAATTATGATAAGCTATTTGATGAAAATTATGATTTAAGTGATAATGATAAGTCTAAATTGAAGAACATTGTTGACCAATACACTGAGCATTTTATTGTTGGAATACCGAGCAGACGTGTCACGACTGGAGAATTAGAAATTCGTTTATTAGATGCCAACAAGACTGTGCAGAGACGTCCATATCGACTTGGCGTAGATGAAAAGGAATTAGTTAGAGATAAAATCAAAGAAATGTTGGCGGCAAATGTAATACGTCCAAGTAATTCTCCATTCGCGAGTCCAATCTTGTTAGTTAAGAAGAAAGATGGCAGTGATCGTTTGTGCATAGATTATAGAGAGCTAAATGCAAATACAGTGGCTGACAAATATCCTTTGCCTCTAATATCAGATCAAATAAACAGACTGCGTGGGGGTAAATACTTCTCTTGTTTAGATATGGCTAGTGGGTTTTATCAGATTCCAATAGATGTAGGATCTATAGAGCGAACTGCTTTTGT